ATTCCAGGACTTTCAATGATTTCGTGACGGTTTTATGTGTTTCCAAAAATCTCTCATGGCCATTTTTGCATTAAAAAGTCGAAACCTTCACGGTTGTAACAACTTCCTTTATTGTGCGATTATTTCTCAACAATTCCTGAGCGTTAAATCTGACTATTTGAGTCACATTTACTCGCAAGGTTCATTTGCTTACTTACAAATTTACTACGGCACCTTTGGAGTCTCCGGAGGTTTTTGAATCACTGGAGTCTATCTTGTCTAATTCCTGAATATTTTTAAATTGCTTCCCATATGGATGACTCAACGCTATTGTGTTTTCGCGATGCATTTTGTAGGCACATCAGCATTTGAAGTTGTGAATAACGCAGAGAGGGTCCTAGGCGTCTTCAGCAGGTTCTTGTTTCCTTAGCCCTTCAGTGCCCAAGATCTCATTATTAATTCTCCTTACTGTCTGCTATACAATTCTTACGATGCTGGTTCTGAGAATTTGGTACTGGATCAACTAGAAAATCCTCAAACTTATCTTTTTCATTATTCTCATCACCTGTCTGATTGATATTGTATGGTTATTGTAAGGAGAAATTCTGTCTTGGTCACTCATGGGAATTAAAGGCTTGATTTCTACTTTAATTTAGAAGTAACCTAGGCAACATTTTCCTTTGCAGTCTTTTTGACAGCATTCGAGGGCTTCCAAGGAAACTGTAAGAATCGAAATGTTTCAAGCAGGTTCGGGGAATGTTTGTGAGGGTCCGCGAAGGTTCGCGAGGACGACAGACTCCGCACCTATTGGCGGAAAGAAGAAGTAGCCGGGACAAGTAACTCAGTGTGGTTTAAACACGAAGTCGTTGACTTTAATCTCAAGAATACCTTTCAAACCAACGCTACTTACATTTGCAATTGACGACTTTTAATCTTCCTTGAAGGCCTGACAGTGGTGCTGAAAACAAAAAAATCATTCATTTTTTATTTTTTATTACTCGACGTTTCGGGGTCATCGTGACTCCATTATCAAGAGACTAGTTTAAAAACATGCAAATAAGGAAAGGTACATGTTGCATGTTTTTAAACTAGTCTCTTGATAATGGAGTCACGATGACCCCGAAACGTCGAGTAATAAATCTTTCCTGGTTTTTTCTATGCCTTTGCTTTAGCAAATCCCTGCTGATCAAATTTTTTATTTTATCGGGAAATCAATAAGTCTTCCGGGTTCATCACCGTATGGAGACTGCACAAGAGTGAGCTAATTGAAGGCCTTTAGAAACATCTTGAAAGTTTTAGCTTGAAGCTAAAATTTTATACTGAATTCTGTGTACTAAATCCGTATGACCTACTTTCGGTCCATCTGAATTTATTTAAGAACTTTTAACTTAAAATATATTTAACTTTATTGAGCTTCGAAGCAGTTTGCATATATTGACTCCAATGATACTTAGATTTAAATTCCCACTTAGGAAAAATTTCTCATTTTACTTTAAACGATAGTACAACATTTTGATTATCAGCATTTAGAGAAATGTGGTCCATTCGCCTTTAAAAAAAAAGATGAAAAATCACCATTTTACCCGCATACACGTCAAACTGGTTTAGGACCAAACGATAAAAACATTCAAAGAAAAATGTGACAGATGGAAAGTTTTCACATCTGTCGTCGAAATATGAAGATTTTATGGGAAAGATAACACTAACGAAAAACAAGTGCCTCGAGGAATCAATAACAACTTCGAATTCTTCTTGGTATTTTATCGAGGTTTTTTTTGTTACCTTCGTGTCGTAAAATTGGGTGTAAATTGCTTCTTCGTCGTATTCCAGTTCGTTTCCTTTCTCAGTAAGGAGAGCTCCTCTGTCGTTCAACTCACAGGTTCCCTGACTTTTGAAAACGTTTCTGAAATTTGTTGAAACGCATCGAGGGTCTCTCTGACATAGCAAACCACAGGATACCAGGTTTGCTTGGTGAATTGTTTTGAACGTGAAGCCTTTAAGTCGGCGATGATTGTAAGTTATCACAGGACAAGAAAGAGACGCTTCCTTACAAAGAAATGCTTGAGATGTTACGACTTCAAACATTAATAACAGGATAAGTCCACCACACAGAGTAAAACTCATTTTGATTTTCTGGTGATGACCTCGTCTAAAGTATGTATACTCCTCAGCTTTGTAATTGTGTCGTAGGCGTTTTCATCAGATGTCAACCAGGAGATGATATTGAATAATTTAAATGAAAGTTGAAGATTTTAATCATTATCTAACCAATCATAGCTGAATCGACTGGCTTGAAAGGATGCACTGAAAGCTGGATAACAGTGCGTTTTCAATTGTTGATTAAATGTTAAAGAAGACGACATTTCCGAGTCAAGTATTAATCACATCAGCCATTTCTTTCTGAATGAACAAAGATCTTATTTGATTCAGAGATTTAAAATAAAAAATGACCCTGCCGTCCATTAAATTTTTCTAGTTTGCCAGTTGTTATCATATAGACTTTCCTGTTAGCTATAGACTTGTCAATGTAGTTGTTGATATATTAATATTGTTATCTACCGCAGAAGTTTCTGAATAATTTATTGAGTACTTAGCCTCTGTAAAAAAACACTCTTTAAAAAAAACACTTCTTTAGCTGCAGACAAAATATGCTCAGTTACAAC